CTAATTCCATACCAGTGCTTCACTATCACATTTGTTCAACAAGCTCTTATATTTCAAGATGTGTATTAACTATTTTCACCATCATGTACTAACTTTCAAGACTGTTCTCTCTGTCTTACACTCCTTATTAGTGAACTCTGAGGCTTCAAAATTAATACAGAATGAACTATGGATTCCTTGACTCCCTAGAGCTCCAGGAATCAATCTCTGTCTGTCTCTGTTTTTCTTCCTCTCTCCTCTCCTCTTCTCTTTTCTCTTCTCTCTCCTCTCCCTCCCTCCTCTTCCTTTCTTTCTCTTTCTCCCTCCCTCCCTATACTGACATACTAGGCAAAAGTTCTACCACTGACCTACATCCCCAGACCAACCTTAGCAACTTCTACTGTAACTACCTTACACTTCACCCTGTAATCTTTAGAAATTATTTCACTTCCAAGAGTCTAAATGCTTGTAAATTCCCCTTAGTAAAACTGAATGCCATTTCATCTTTCCTAATCTCTTGAAATTGTTTCTTCTTTCTCACTATTCCTGACAGTCTCCTAGTACACTAGGCCGTCCTTTCCATTCTCTGTCTCCTTATCCAGTATGAACAACTATTTGGATAAATTCCCTAGATCTATCATTCCCACCTAGTCAACACTCAGCACATGAGCACCTCCACTGACTCCCTTTCTTCTTTCAGGCTGTAAGCACTTTTGGGAAGAGTGATAGTGGGAGATATAACATCAGCTGGGAATTTGTTTTTCAGCAATTATTTTATTCAATATCCAATGATGCCTTATTGAAGTTCCTACAACGCCCTTGTCCAACCTTTTTCTTTCCTAACCCCCTAAAGCCACATTCTACTTTCCCTCACTAGGCAGATGCCATTATACTGAGAAGACACAGGCATCCAATGTGAGCTCTTTCAGTATCCCTCTTCTGTTTTTCAAAATCTTTCTGTACCTTTTTCATCTTCCACCCACCAACTCTGGCCTCCAAAGCCAACCGTGTTTCTTTTTTATCAAAGCTAATCTCTCTGCTTGTCCTCTTGATTTTACCACCTCTTTATTATATATGGTTAACTGTTTAGGGCTGGGGATTTAGCTCAGTGTTGCCGCTACCTGCCTCACAAGTGCAAGTGCAAGTTCCCAAATTCAAACCCCGGTACAAAAAAGAGCTCAAATTCTGTGGTTAAGAGTCCAGAACCTAGGCCCAGATCATGTGACTTGAGTTCCAGCTGTACCACTTACTACTGTGTGTCTTTGGGCAAGTAACTCAACCTTCTAGGTGTTGGTTTCCTTACCTATAAAGACTTGATTAGTAACCGAATCTATTCATTGCACCACTGTGAAAAGTAAATGAAGAATTTCATATACAGCACTTAGTGAAACACTTAACTCATAGTAAATGCTCAATAGCACACACTAGGTGTGATTACTATTATCTTTCTCTCTATACTAGCTCTTGGTACATTTTCCCTTGTCTTTAAACTTGCTCATCTCCTTTTTTTAATTCACTGAATTTATCAGTATAATTTAGGTGTACATTATGATCACATTCATCATACAGAATTTGTACCCGTACATGATATTATCTTGGTTATTTTTTTCCCATTCCCCCTCCCTCCCTTCCACCCCTCCACCCCTCCCTATTTACAGCTTTGCTTCCATTATTTCCTTCTTTTCTTGTTTTTTTCTTTCCCTTTTTTCCTTTCCCTTGCCCCTCTCCTAGTTCCTCTCCCCCTTTGAACACTTTCTTCCTATTTCACCATATCTATTATACACTTTAGTCTTCATTTACACTTTGTTTCTCAACCAGAGAAACAATTCGATATTTACAGTGTGTACTATTTATTTCACTTGAGTATGATCTCAAGGTGCATCCATTTAGCTATAAAAGATTCTAGTTTATCTTTCTTCCTGGCTGAGTAGTACTTCATTTTATTAAAAAAAAATCTTTATCCAATGACCAGTTCATGGGTATTTGGGCTATTTTCCAAGATCTAGCTATTAATATAGGTGATTGTATATCATTTTGGTATGATGCTTTTAATCCACAAACTTTTCAATCTCTTTAAAGAAGATGATGTACACCAATAAGCTATTAGAAAGCCCTTAAACAAGGAAGGTAAGAAACCCAGGACCAAAGCACCCAAGATTGTGCATCTTATTAATTCACATGTCAACAAAAATGCCATCATATTGCTCTGAAGAAGCAGCATACCAAGAAAAACAAGGAAGAGGATACAGAATATGCCAAACTTTTGGCCAAGAAAATGAAGAAAGCCAAAGAAAAATGCCAGGAACAAATTGGCAAGAGGCACAGAATATCCTCTCTGAGATCTTCTACTTCCAAGTCTGAGTCTAGTGAAAACTAAGAATATTTAAGTAACAAATAAGTTAGATCTGACCTCAAAACAAAAATGTCAGTTTTTAAATTAAGACTTTTTTTCTATAACTCACTACCTCACCCCAAGTCTTTTCCCCCTTTCACCACTAAACTTCTCTGAAGAATATGTCTCCTTTCCCAAGAAAGCAAAGAATCATCGAAAGACTTTCCAGTCAAATACACCTATGAACGAGTCCCACTCTTCCAATAGCAACTGTATATGACTCCAATCAAGAATTTTTTCTAAGTCTCAGTTTCTTAAATCTGTAAAATACTACTCCATACCTTAAGGTATTAAGTGTCAAATTGAAAATACTATATGTAAAACAATAGCCAAAGTAGGTGCTAATGAGCCCGCGCTCTCTTGCGCACGCTCCCTCTCTCTCTCTCTCTCTCTCTCTCTCTCTCTTTTTTTTTTTGATACAAGGGATCAAACTATCAAACTCCAGACCTTGAGTTTGGGAGGTAGACGCTGGCACCACTGAGCTAAATCCCCCGTCCTCTCCATCTCTTATTCTTTCTTTAGTCTCTTATAATCTAAGATCTTTATTACTGTACTTATGCTTCTTTATATCACTTCAGCTTTTATTAACATTATAACAGTGAGCAGTTTAACTTCTCTAAACTGCAGTTTTCCATCTTTCACTAAATGTTTGCTATATACAGTTGTCTTTTTCGTTTGTTTGTTTGTTTTTTGCGACAGCGTCTCACTATGTAGTTGAGACTGACCTGGAACTCGCTATGTAGCCCAGGCTGGTCTCGAACTCGTGGTGATCCTCCTGCCTCAGCCTCCCGAGTGCTGGGATTACAGGCGCGAGCCCCCATGCCCGGCCTTACAGTTGTCTAATTAATAAGTGAATTACCATCTATAAAGTGTTCAGCATAATGCCTGGCTACAATACCCACTTAATGGTCAAATCAAGATTTCTCAAAAAATAAACAAAGGGCTGGGGAGGGGATGTAGTTCAGTGGGTTCAACTTTAAAAACTTAGTACTTTAAAAACAAACAAGAAAGACTTCAACTCTCTCTGGTAGGCTTCACTAATAACACATCGTTCTAATTTGCATTTAACCACTGACCATTTCTTCTGTCTGCATTTGCTCAGGAAGCTTTTCTTCTCCTTAAAACAGGGTGTGAGCTCTTTCTTTTGAACTTCACTGGATGTAAGGCACTTCTCTTATTCTTCATTAACAGTCGTCTGTATTATTTGTTGCATAAAATTTAATCTCTTTTAGCCTCACTGCTGAGCACTTATTTCTTCATGTAAAATTTTTGACTTCCCAATGTAAGTCAGGCCTGTGCTAGCTATTAAGGATACAAAGATTAACATGTTATAATTTCTGTCCTCAAAAAGCTTTTTAAAATGGTAAAAGTACAGTATATACCATTAGCAGTGAAAGAAATACTATCCAAAGATTATGCCCAGAGTTCTCTGGGAGCAAGAAGGAGAGACACAGTATTTAAATTAGCCCGGTGAGTCCAGGGGCACTCCCTTGCAAAGCTATTTTTGGGCTTGTTCATTGCGGAGGCTCTACACAAATATCTGTTAGATGAACAAAGTATGAATAAAAAGCAACTAGATAAAGATGGGAAAGGGCACTTTGGGCACAAGAGAAAGATCACGTAAAAAGGCCTTGAGGGGTGAAGCAAGTAGATCAGTACTGAACATTCCTGAGTGACAGAAGGTGAAGCTAGAGTCAAGGCAGGTTGGGATAATACTGTTAATCTGACCGAGGACAGATAATGCAATACAGATCAATGCTTTGAAGTAAAGGATGTGCAAAATCAGATTTACATTTTGGTATAAGTACTCGGACGGCAAATGGGAAAATGGATTCCATGAGAGGCAAGCTAGTGATAGAGTCCAGTTAGAAGGGTGCTATAATACTTGAGATAAAGTGTGAGCGCCAAAACCATACCAATGAAATGAAAAAGGCGAGTCATGACGGATACTGAACCTACTTAAGATCAACTCCGGCTGAAATGAATTATGCACACTGGTATCTCCTCCAAGCCTAGCAAAACATTTTACACTAAAAAGGAGCTATGTAAATATATAGAGAGAGGCTCTTGTTATTGAAATCTACTTAGAGAACTGCAGCAAGCAGCCAGCTGAGTCACTTCCGGTACACGGATTCTTACGGAAAAGCAAATTTCTCATTATAAAGTTCAAAAGTTACAGATTATTCGAACACTGAGAGTAGCAACACTAAGCATAAACCAGAAGAGATTGAGGACGTCTCTATCCTGGACTGTCACTCAAATGTTTGAACAAAGGTCAAGAAGCCGAGACAAATGCCAAAGATCCTTTTGCCTTTGTTGCAGCAGCTCATTTCCTGAACGGCCATTTTCACCAGCGTTTCCCAGGTTTGCACCTAGTCACAGTAATAAACAGTCTCCCACAGGGGGCTAAGGAGAGAGCAGCGTCCCAGGCTGAGATAACTGTAAAGGGAGGCGGGTATCTTGAGACTTCAAAGGTTAATGGTTTCAATTATTTTACAACCTTGTCTCCACCTTCCACTTCTTCTGGTGCTCCTTTGAAAAGTTAGGAGGATCCTTTCTACAGATACTGGAACCCTAAGGGCACCGAAACAACAACAAAACCCCCAAAACACTGTTTGTTTTCACTTACTCTAAAGGGCGCCATCTCTTTGACCCTCTCCGACCAATTTTTCTTACGGAGACCGCACAGGGACAAAACTGTTCTTTACTTCGCTCACTGCAGCCACACCCCCTCATGTTTCTAGCTCTCGCCGTTTCTCCGCCCTCCTATAGTCGCGGGAGTCCCGGCTGCAGTTAGCTAGTCATTTGTGTTCCGCGAAAATGGTTTAAATTTGCCCTTTTGATTTACCCTGCCTGTCCCGGATAAATCTTTTCACAATGTTTTCCATAGTTTGGTCGAAAGTTGTTTCCTTGGGTAACGAACTTTTCATTGTTTGTTTGTTTTAGGCATATGTGAAGTGTCTAGACAAATTAAAACCCGAGTTCAAATCTATTTAAAAATAACTGCGCAGTTACAAGAACGTGTTACTTCTGCCATACATGGACAAAGTCATTTATTCGTCCTAAAACCGTCACTTAGCACCAACTTTATGCCGGGCAGTTGTTCGATATAAAAACAAAAAGTATTCCTTTTCTCACGGAGTTTATGGCTTCCGGAGAAAAACAGAGACAAATATTGCAAAGGGCCAAATGCTATAAAAGAAAAGAAAACCGTAGGTAGGGATTTGTTTATGTGGATTAGGTAAAGCCTGATAAGGTGATTTGAAGGACTTGAGGGAAGAGTATTCCAAGCACCAGGAATAGCAGATTGATTTAAATTCTCTGCAATGAATGGCTCGATTGAAATTCCCTTTTGCAGAGAGATCGACCTCCCTGCTTCCTATTATCTGTCTTTTATTTTGCTCTTTATACTTTGGGTTTCTTTAGGAGGGAGAGGGGGAGCAGAGGAGGAGGGGAGGAAAAAAGAATTGGTATATGTACATCTATCAACTCCCAGCGATTAATATAATCATTACATATTTCAAACCTACACTACAAAAAATTAAAATAAATGAAAAAAATAAGAGTGAAAAAACACATTACATAGGGACTCTTTGTGACGCTACAAGGAATTTGGATTTTATTCTAAATAAGAAAGTCAAAGGATTTTGAACAAAAGTGTGGCTTCATTAAGTTAATTTAAAAAGTATAATTTTGGTGCTGTCTGAAAAATAGACTGAAGGTAGGTGCAATATTCTCAACAGGGGCAAGGTCTCCCAAAGCTCTCCTGTGAATAATTCTGCGAAAAAAATATTCAAAATGTGTCCAATATTTTCTATTGTCATTTACTCATTCAACAGATATTTATCAAATGTAAACTGCATATCAGGCATTAATGGAGTAACTTGCATGTTTGATACTCGAAGCACATCTTTTTTTAACAGAACCTCCTCTATATGACAAAATTATTTCTGGAGAGTAGATTTTGCCTATCCGGGCTTCATAAAATTTATACCAATAAAAAATCAAAGATATGCATTTTAAAAAGAGAAACAAAATCACTTTATTTGGAAGGAGAGAAATGAGATCTCTACCTGGTGAGAGTAAGGTAGGGAATCCAGAGCCAATACTCCAGGGTCTTTGTTCTTAGCCCCTTATATTATGACAACAAAGGGATCCTCCCCCTTGACAGTTGCTATAACTTGAATGAATATTTTGGTCTCTGAGACCCCTGATTTGGCCACAGTCCTCTCCATTGCCTACGTGTAATGGAGCTTCTTGAGAAAATTCCTTTGACCTTCTTTGTTCAGCCAAGGTGTTTATCTCTGAAATTTATAGCACCGCCTTACATTCAAAGCCGTGTTAGCAATTAGTAAAATGATACAGGAGGCCGGGGATTTGAGCAAAGCACAAGGACCCAAGTTTGATCCCTGGTACAAAAAAAAAAAGAAAGAAAGAAAGTAAAAGGGATACAGGTACATTTTTGTGTAGTAACACGGTGTAAGAT